TGCTGCCTTATGGCCTTGGGTAGAGCAACGTGCTGTATGGCCTGTGAGCAAGTCATGAATCCTTCAGGGTGCAGACCCTGAATCTCGCGTGCCTAAAGAAGATTGCTTCCTTCAGAGCACAGCAGCTTCTGCAGAGTCCTCTCTGTGTCATTTTGTGACATACTAAAGACAAGATCCATCCTAGTTATTTTTGTGTATAGACAATTATGCCAGCAGCACACGAAGGCAGATACTGGATTCCAGTCTGTGTGCTGGTAGGAATTAGCAGCTTTAAAGATGAGTTGTGAGTGACTGGCTTGTAGGAGGCCGTTTGTCCTTGTTTTCATTACACTTATTAAAAAAGAAACGGCACTTCAGTTGTTGTAAATGTCTCTGGATGCCTAACGGAACAGAGTGAGTGGGAAAAGAATCCAGGCGTGGTGGGGAGGGTATGTACAGTCTGCCGAGGAGTGGGAGGGGAGATGCTCCAAACCATTGGGAAGGTGTAAAACCCAAGGTGATCACAGCAGGTCTCTCTTTTAAAAAGTGTCGCTACCAGGGGTGGTGCCTGGAGGGGAGAGATGTGTTGCACCGAGGTTAATTTCAGGTTAATCTCTAAACTGGGTGTCTGCTCCAAATCAGCCTTTAGAAAGGTTTATCTTCGCAGGGTATGGAGAGAGCCCGGGGAGATTATCACCATCTGCAGAACAGGGGGATTTCACAGAGGCCAAGGGAGCGGGATTTGTGTCAGTTAGAAGGAGAGTAACCTCTCAAGCGCTGCTCTTGGAAAAGGACACTCAGTTGAAAGGCGTCATTGAAAAACATGGGGGTTTACTGAGCAGAATGATTGAGTGTAGCTCTTGAGACTCAAAAGGGGTTTTTTCACCCATGTTGTGTAGTTGTTCGAGTAGTTGACAGCAAATTTTAAATTAATTCTCTCTTAAAAAAAAAAAAAAGTGAGTGACATACTGAAACTAGATCATTAGAAAATCACAGTAACGAGTGTCTACACGTTGATTTAAATGGTGTATTCGTGAACATACACCTGGGTAGCACAGTTTGAGGCAACAGGCACTTGAGCGTTGCTTCTCCTGATCTCGGAACGTACAACTTCAGTTCAAACGTAACTTGTTCATACTCATGATCAATGCAAGTTCTAAAAAAGGGGGGAAAAAAAGTGCCCTCCCCCAAACTATTAAAGCAAAAAGATTCTATTGTCTGCCTTTTTTTTGGTAGTTTAGTTATTTTTGTGGCATCACATGTTGTCTGCAAAGAACTGGGAATGAGGTGCCTTTAAATTGTACTCATAGAATTACCTTGGTTTGTACATCATCCATTCACGTCACACCACAGTACCTGTGACAGGTAAATTCGTTGGGAGAGGGCAGGAAGCTCCCTAATTGTCATTGACCTGAATGCATCTTCTGGATAAAGCGTGTTCTTTGTATCTTGCCAACTCTCAATTCTCATCTATTCACGACCATTTATTTTTCTCCCAGGTTGTAGGAGGCCTAGATATCCACAAAAAGATGGTCGTAGACGTGTGACTCTGTAGGGCACCACCCAACACTTTTGCTTTCTTCTCCATCTCTGAAGATCTGCTCAAGACGTCCGGCAATGCTCTCTGTGTATTTAAATGGAAGTATTTTTCTCTGTGAAGCCACATTTTCCAACATGAGCCTCATGAAGCCAACTAAGTGTTATTGAACTTTTATTCTCTCAATAACTCGGTGTAGCACTTTAAAGTCTGAAGGACAGCAAAGATGGAAAGAGCATATCAGTGTGGTGGAGAAAGGGAAGGGGTTGGCTTTTTAATTTATTTTTCTTCATCTTTTATAACAAGGAAATATCTATCTATATATATATATATGTGTGTGTGTATTTATATATAGATATATATGTAGCTTTCTATATGTAGTAGCTAGGTGGGCTTTAATTTAATATACTTGATTCAGAAACAAAACTAGAGTACAAAGTGCCAAGCAGAATATTAACAGTTCAATATATGGATATACATCCTTACTTTTATTTCACACAGTTTTATATATATAGTAGAAGAATGTAAAATTTTAACTGGGTGTTAGGTCAACTCTTTTCCTTTTCCTGTGACTGTTCAGATGTTTCTATATATTGACTGGCTGACAAAGCATTGCTTCTTATTAATTCACCTTAATTACTATTTTTTTTTTTGTAACCCAGGAGACTAAGTTTATTTATACCTGTTAATATATTACCAGGGACTGTGTCTCTTTGCAAAATAACTTAGTACAGTTCTACTTAAGATGAGAATATAGTTTAATGCTACTGCCAAGAACTAGCCCTGGTGTGTGTAGTGGCTGCGGAATGCTTTGACTGCGTCCCCTGGGAGCCCTGGAGCTGAGGCAAAGCTGCTGTTCTGGCTCGTGGTAGATGCAGCTGCTCAAGGCGTCAGACGCGTGCGTGATTTTTCTCTTGCGCTTAACTTGATGAAATTAGGATCGAGGTAACTGTGCAGGATTCCCATCGACTTATTTTATACAGTACTTAGATTATGAAACGTTCTTGCCATTTAAAATTTCTCTTGTTTCAATCATGGTAGTTTCCCCTCTGCATTTAAAGAATACTACAGGTAGCATAAGTAACTGGTAATTTTATATATATATATATATATATGTATATAGGATTCGTACAGGGGGAAAATCTCGTTAACCTATGCCATAGAGGAGGAAAACTTCACACTATCTAAATTTATACCTCTTGCAGCTCTCCAGTCCTTTGCCTGGAGCACTTCTTTCTTTTCTAGATTTGTCCATATCATAATTTGTAACGGATGGTAACTTGATATATTTGTGTGATATAAAAGTAGCGAGCCATGTTTTACAACTTTATATCATCCCTTCCTGTTTCTGCAATGGTACTATTGGCTGGAAGAAAAACATTTGCTACATTTTTTTTTTTAGGACAGTACATCTTTCCTGTATAGTAGGTTTTCTATTAAAAAGAAAAAAAAAAAGGTTTTGTAATCAGCAGTGGGAAGTGCAGGTTGTCAGGTTGTCTGAACATACTTCAGTCGAGCACCTGTCTGCCATAGCTGTTCCTTCAACTGAGTGCTGCACATCATGGGCTCTGTCTGTCAGAGAGAAATCCAGGTGCTTGGTGTCCTTGCATGACATGAAGTTTTGCATGTAGATCAATTTGATGTTCCTCTTGTTTACATAATTTGCATAATTTAAAAGATAATGTTGCCAAACTTTGGTAAATGTTAATGTTCGAAACAAAAAAAAATCTCCACTACATGTAACTTTTCTTCCTCTGGATCAGTACGTGGCTTATAATCCCAGCCAGTGGTTGTATCTGTTCCAGTGTCAACTGCCATGTGCTCTGCTTCAAGGGGGAACTAGTCTTTTGTGAATTTTTTGTACATAAGTATTTGTTACAAACATTTTAGCAAACGCTTTCCGTTTCTCTTACTCGCTTGTGCATATCTTGGCTGGCATTATAGAAATTAGTGCTAATGTTATTTCCTTAGGGGGGGTGGAAGGGGAGGGGTGAGGGGAGGGGGTTTGGTTTTGTTTTGGGGTGGGTTTTTTTGGTTTTTTTTTTAGTTTGTGTGGGGAAAAATGATTTCTGTTGAATGTTTAGTTTTTCCTCTGCATGCTACATCATACATCGTGGGAACTATAAGAACCTTCATACTATATGAATACAAAATAAAATATTTGAACCTTGGCTGGACTGTTTCGGTTCTTACCCAGACCCTTCCTGTTCATCCAAAAGCAGCTCTGCACCCTTCCCTGAAGAAAAGAAAACTTGCTGTTCAGTTTTTGTCCTCTTTGATTCTTGTGATTTCCTGAAGAACTGCACAGGGTGCAGACAGTCCCCTGAACACTTCCAGGCTTCACAACCACATGGGTGTGTTTTTTCTTACAGGCTTATCTGGTTCCCTGTGCTACAGGTCCAAATTGGATAAAATACTTTGTTTACAATCCTACTAAATTCAGAATGATCATGGTAAGTGGAAGGTGGTTTAAAAACCACAACAAAACCCCTGACCTGAACGTAGGTGAGGAGTGAAGGGCAGCTCCTTTCTCCAGGCAAGGTCTGAGATGTCTGCTGGTGAAAGCATTTCTCCCTGCAGCAGCTGTGTGCTGCCCTGTCCCTCTCTCCTTGGTCGGTTCCATATGCACCTGCTTTAGGATAAAGATTAATTACTTTTGTGTGTCCTTGTCTCACTTTCCCTCTCAAGCTAATCGAGATCAATGACATAAGCAGCTGCTAGGCAGAAGATGTGCTAACCAGGTAGGTGTATCATGTCTTGTTTTTGTTCACAAACCTGAAGGGAATTATTTTGCGAGAGACGTGGTAGCATGTTTGCCTGCAGGGGCAGGAGAATGGGCCCACACTTGGCTCAGAGCAGGACTGTGGCTGGGCTGTGCCATCCTCCCCCTGCTCTGCTACACGCCTGTAGCATTCTCAGGGAGGTGCAGCACTTGGCAGTTGTTAGGGCTCTGGTACACTGGTATTTAACCCAGAGGCTCTTGCCTGTGCTAGGCTGCCCTTGCCGCTCATTTGAGAGAGAAAATAAGATCTCTGTAGGTGCATATTCTCTAGAATTAAATTCAAATACATGATTTACCTCGTCTTACCATTTCTGTGTGGCACATTGTCCCAGCAGTAGCAGACTTGTTGGGCAGCCTGCCCTTGAACTTTCCATTCCTACTGACTTCCTTTTCCCAGGAAGACACTGATCCTCACAGCAGAAAAATACTTTATGTTCAGAAAGTCAATAATGAAGCATGTTTTTGTTTAAGTAAAATCAGGTGCTGGTACTTCTGATATAGACACAACCAATTTAAAATAACTTTTAATGACTGTACAGAGATATTGTGTGTGCAAATATTGAAATTAGGCTGCACAAACAGTCCTGGTTTTCTTCTGGGCTTCCAAATCCAGCAGAAAACTGAGTGCTGCTGTAGCTCCAGGCTTCTCGTGCATAGAGAAACCACAGCTCCCAGTCCTTGGTGGTGCAGCGATGCTGTGGCTCAGAATCTTTCAGCTGCTCTGCTGGCCACTGCCCGGATATTGCCGTAAACTTTGGACGGAGGACTTCCTGCAGAAGCACGCACAAATTCAGTCGGCAAACAAGATAACCAACGTCACAGAAACGCGATGGTTCGTGCTCATGTCTGTGTTAAAGGCAGACAAATAAGCCCGTGGGTGAGGAGCAGAGTTAAGCTGCTCTCAGCAGGGGTTGCCCCCTTTGGCTTTCTAGACAGTGCATTCAAAATAGCTCCTCAGGGAAAAGCAGAAGAATCTTTCTTCTGCACCACAGAGGGTTTTGGAGCCAGAAACCAGGAAACCAGGCCCTGGGCTCCCTGCTCCCTTCTCTTTAAGGGCAACAAACAGCTCCCAGCAGGCTACCTGCTCCAAGTGCAGGTGTGGACACCCCAGGTAAGAGGTAAGACCCCCAGAAAGCAGTCTTGTCAAACTGCAGGATCTAGTTATGTGCCATGGGAGAAGATTAGATAACAGGACTCACCTAAAATTAGGTTGCAAATTGCTGTTCGTGCCATTTTAATGTTCTGAAAAGATCCTAAAATATGAATTTTCCTGTAAAAAGCAAGTCAAGGAGTATTAGGTAATGGAAAACCCTCCCTGTAATTACACAGTTAATAGAGAGCTGGAGGTTAGAGATGAAGGTGGAACTTCAGAGCAGTGTACTAGTTCCCTTTCTACACTTTGTAAATAAATTAAAAAAACATCAAACCCAGAAAATCTGCAACATGGAACCTGCACTCTTCTAAATCATTTTTAAAATAGATTTTACAATTTGCAAATTTAACAGCGTAGCAGCTTTAGGAGGAAAACGCTGCAAGGTTGGTGGGTTCAGCTTTGATTATTTATAAAGAATTCTTATGCTGGGTAGAATCACTCAACTCTAGGTGTGCTGGTAACGTTGTCATTGTTCACAAAAGGTCAAATACTGAAAGAGTTAGTGTTCATAAAAATAAGACTTAAATAATTTGTCTTATTAATGCTCTACAACAATTAAAAAAAAAAAAAAAATATATATATATATATTCAAGTTATCTTTGTTCCTGGAAGAGGATGTGGATTAATTCAGGGACTGTGCTCTGCCCAGAAGGAAGTCAGTCAATACTCACGTGTCAGCAAGAACAATTCGTGTCCTGGTGACGTTTTCTATCGTGAATTTTGTTTTTCCGCCTTTCCCTGCTATTCTCCCTACTGCTCTGGACAGATGATCTCCTTTCAAAGGCTTGACTGAAACAAGAATAACACACTTTGTTAAAACAGGGGTGGTGGGTATTTCTGTAATGCTTCCCTTGTCCAGGTTACTGGGAACACCTCGCTCTAAGGAGTATGAAAGCAGCTTTCCTGTAGGTGAAATAAATATATATGTGTCTATATTCACCTATGTGGCTAGAACTGAAAATCCCAGCCAGTGCTATGTGACCATGGGCATCAGAGAGGAATTCTTGTACAGAACTTTATTCTTTATTCACTACAGAACTTTACTACCAAGCAACAGAGATTGAGGAAAGAAACAGCCCGAGTGCAGACAATTACCCCCAGTGGAAATAAAACATATCAGCTTTAGGTGCTGCTCTCCTTGGAGCCTGCTCCCAGGAGTCCCAGTAATACACTAAATAATAAATGCTGATGCTACCTGCTTCCCACCCCTCACTGTCAGGACATGGGGAGGAACAAAGCCTGTTCCACTTGTAAAATCTAGGGGAGGTATTCCCCAAAACACACCGTCTCACCTTTAAGTTTAAAACAAGGTTTACGCTGTGATAAAAAAAAAAAAAAATCCAATCAACCTGACACAGTGGTGTGCTTTTAAGGATGAAGGTTTGCGGGGTTTTCTTGGGACACTGACAAAAATGACAACCCTTTAGAGCTGCCTGTACCTAGACAATTATTCTGTGTGTTGGCACACAGGTTCCTCTGAGCCCTGGGGATAAGTGACACAAATGGAGCAGGGGGTGGGGAAAAAACAAAAGATGTATTTGCAGAGGGTACAAACAGCTACTTCAAAACTGCAGCAGAAACTACTTACCATCTGTGACTTCAAATGATTCTAGAAAAAGATCATCTAATCTGATGAGAGCAAGAGCATCCTAAAATATTAAGAGAGTTGTTATCAGTGTGTGTTCCAGCACCACACCAGAGCTGCGAGCTTTTCTGCTGATACACAGAAAGAGACGACAGCAGCAGCATTTCCGCACGCGACATCATAAACAATAGTCAGCTCTGGTCAGATCAGCTGGTTTGTTTTTTTTTCCAGTGGCACCCAGACACCCCCACGTGCACACTCATGAAGTCAGTACAGGTCTGTGGCATCGAGCAGCCTGTGTGATACTGCAACCAGGGAGTTTCTTTTCTCCAGGGATGAGTTTTGAACAGACTGATAGCTTTTGACAGGGACTAAAGCAAAGTGAACAGTCTCTACATGTGCAGAGCACCAAAGAGAATGTAATTTCCTGCTTACCTCTCACATACCATTAAATATTTCCTCCATTTCATAATTCTCTTTATGTGCTGTTTGAAGATTACCTTTTTATTCTGCATTAGCTTAAGAAATCAGACCTCCACTCCACAATTTCAAACAGATTTATTTCTAGACAACCACCTGAAGGAATTTTATTTCTTTCTTACTATAATTTGCAGAGAGGCCAAAGACTTCACGCAAGCAAATTCAAGCAATCTCATAAGCAAGCTGTTGGGACACTCACCTCTACTTGAAACCCAAGTATAAATGCTTTCACAAAATCAGCTGCTTTCGTTAGAGCACTGAGATCCTTTGTCTCTTGACAAGTCTGCAAGAGGAGAGGTTATGTTTGCAAATTAAGATCATACAAGTAGGCTCAGGACTTGAAAAACCGAAGAGATGAAGGCTAACTGTTAAAAAGCAACGTCCAGGTAACGCTCCTATACTGTGTTTTACTGAAAGACAAGTGACAGACTTTGTGGGTTTTTATAATGTTGACCCTGAAGCACAAGAACACACCAAGCCTGTGTTTGGAGGGGAGGGAAGAGAGAAACTGCTGCAAATCCCCCCCACCACTGACTGAGGAGAACCCTTTTTATGGGAAAAACCAAACACAAACTAAGCTGCAACACAGAACAGCAGGATAAAAGAGAAGGATGATGGCAGGAGACGGCTTGAGGAGGGAAAGTTATTCTAATGACAATATCCTAAAGATGCTTTAGCAGGTGAACAGAAACATCAACGGGTTCAATAAAACCTGTGGGATGAAAAGCAAGAAGTCTGGAACAGGAAGAAATCGACCTGACACATCAGCAGGTGTTGGAGTGTGTAAGTTCTATATTTTTTTCCCTCCTCCCACAGGATTTCCTGCTGGGGGGCATTTCTTCAGCTCATGTTCTAAAGCTGGGCCAAAGTGTCCCTCTGCTACCCGTGGAAAGAGAAGGTTGCGCACATCTGCGCTTGCAGAGCCTAACCAGGACAACCTGGACAAGAGCAGTCCTTGAAGCTGTGAGAAAAGCAAAGCAGGAGACAATAATCAGGAGGATAATTATGTTAAGGTCTGGAATACAGAAAAGGCATTTTGAAATGTCATTTACAGCTCTCACACCATGTGAAAAGAAATGATACAAACTCATTTCAAAGTTTTCAATCTGTTTTTATTCATGGTAGATACGGGCAAATTCAGGCAGCTCGATCAAGAACAAAACTACCTTGCTGTTCAACCAGACATTGCTCCCTAGCAGAAAGTGGCACTGAAATCCCAGGGTTTTCACCCGTGTGAATTCAGTGGCATTGCAAGAGTGTTCCTGTTCTGCCCTGACTCCCTTTCAAGTTATTTCTAGGAAGCATCAATAAGGGATAGGCCTCTCACCTTTCCTAATAAGCTGGCCAGCCTTTCACTAATGATGCCTTTTTTTTTTCCCCTCACATTGCTCCCATCCAACTGGTGCTCAGATGTCAGGGTTAGGAAGCAACATCACTGTTGGTGTCTGTATTTTCAGCATCACATTCTACAATCTCACACAGCGACACTGCTAATACAGTAACTCGTATGTCAAAGGCAGAGCATGAGCTCTGGATATACACCACCAGCTTCTCTGAATATTGCTGAGAGGGAATAAGACCCAGCAGCTGCAAGATTTATATTTGTACGTTATTATCTGTACCCTAAGCTATTTCACTGCAATACCTTAAAGAAAAATCAGAAGCTATTGAACTGCAGGCCTCTATCTTCTGCCACAAACAAAAAACATGAGAAGGTATCTGTGGCCCCCTCAAGAGACACGGTTAACTCTGAATTGTCACAGAAGCACTTACTAGCCGTAAATAGCTGGAAAACACTGTGTTCTACCATCACAGACACAGAGTAAGACTAACAGACAGACAGAGAGTTCCTGAGTTCTCCAGTACATCATTTTCTCCTATAAAACTGGAAAAACACCAAACCCCACCAGCTTAAGCAGCCCCCTCCCAGAAGAGATTATTGCATTTAAATTTCACCCAAGTTGGCTACTTGCTTCTGAGCAGTGACTGTCCGGTTGGGCTCTAGCCCCCGGGAGGGGCCCTGGCTGGGGAACCCGGGCAGGTCCCACCTCCCGGAGCACTGGGCTGGGGAGCAGGAGGAGGGGAGGCTCTGCCCCGCAGGTGCTGGCTGGGGCAGCAGCAGAATCCCACACTGGTGGGGTTGGAAGGGACCTCA